TTTTAATGGGAAAACGTAAAGGTCTTCATCAGGACACATCTTGTACAATAAATGTTATATTTCTGAATAAAGAATAATTATATATTAGAATATATTAATTATATATTATTTATAGATGAAAATTACTCTTTATAATGAATGTGTCTATATAGCTGAAAATAAAATTCTGTTGAAAATGAGTATGATACAAAAGAAAGCAGAAAACAAATTTACCGGTGGGTAGCAAAAGCAAAAAACGTTTTAGAAATAAATATACTAATTTAACAGTTAACAAAATTTCGCGAAGAAGAAAAGAGTAAAACACATACACACACACATATATATATATAGTTTTTGTCAAAAATAAACAAAAATATTAAATTGTTAACTGTTTTCGTACTATACCCATATGATTTTCTACAATTTCAAATCGGCATACAATTTATAAAATTTATATCAAAAAGAAATCATAATTATACACTATAGGAATATGTGTATATATATGAGCCATTTAATTTCAAATTAAATTCTATAAAATTCCTGAAATATTATAGGACCAAAATTCAAGTATCATTTTGACTTAAGCAGAAAGCGCAACTTGTAAATAAAATAAGTTTTTTTCTTTTGAGAATCACTCAATTTAATCAAGCTTAAACCTAGGTATCACGTGAGAAACAAACTGAAGCAAGTTCATTTCAAAAATGACTTGAATTGACTAACTACTAAATACCTCATATACTGTCTACAATAACTAAATTAAATATTTAAAATGCAGAAATAATATTAACCACATTTTACTCTAACGTCATTAAGATTATTTTATACATAGATTCTGTATACTTAAATAATAATATTTTCAATATTACATGTTTTAATTAACTGTATTTAACATAACATTCAATTTTTCTCTGCTCCCATTTTTAGTAATTTATATAGCAAAAATAAAATTTCTTCTACAAACAATTTCCATCACATTAAAATACAATATATGAACAGATAAAAAGACAATAATAACCAGGCATGTCATAAACACAGGTAAACAAACAAAAATTAAAAACTTTTCACTTCCGCCAAGAAATAGCAACAACAAAAAACATAGTAAATATAGTACTCACAATAGGTTTCCTTAGCGAGCTTGGCTACCACTTCCCCCTTGAGTTTACTATTTCCCTTGCCCATGTTTCAAGTGCGAGCACCAACAAATAACCGGCAATCACCTGCGAAGATTCGCATTCCTCTGTCTGTTTCCAGCGGCGCCCCTGTTCGAACCAGTATTCAGCGACATCTACAGGAGCGTCGCCGCTGCTAAGACAAGGGGGGGATCAATAAATACGGGGAAAGTAACATAGACGCCTAAGGTTTTCTATAATGCACATTGAGTTGGCTACTTCTGATTTGAAGTCTTTGTTGCTCCATCCAGGGGCGTTGTGCCATCCCTTGCGATGTTTACACTTTGGTGGCGTCAGTAACATTATGAAACAAATGTTACAGGTGGTAAATTGAGACTATCTAATCGATTTTGGTGATTAAGGAGTTGGTTGCTCAATATTAATGCTGAGCATTATTTCTGGTGTATGATGGATCTTTCTTGGCTTCGACCCTGACCTTTATTTTTGGTCTACTAAGCAAAAGTTTCACGGTTTGTGGTTTAATGAAGGTAGTTCGTTAATTTCTGAGAACCAGCGAAAAGTGGTGCAAAATACACGACTTTTGCAGTTTCAGAATTTCTGTAATTATTTTGCCATAATTAATGGTTTTCATAACACGCTTAAAATTTTCACCCTCAGTGGAATTTATTAAATCTGAAAATGTATTTTATATTTTCTACAAGCTAATTCGACTTAATTAATAGTTTTTGCTGCTGCCGTATGCTGTAACTATAAATCAGTTTTTGAAAAAAAGACTTATTGTTGAATATCAAAAGTTTGACGGGGTACGCGATCCATAGATATGTAGTGTAACTAGCACTATAATAATTCAATTCCAATTCACTAGTACATAAGACGTGCTAACTCGATTCTAAAGGTACCTTTTTGATAGATGAAGGTTTACATAGTCGACATTCTAGTCCCCATATTCGTGACCTGCGGAAGTGATAGGAACTCGCTTATCTCAGCAATTACGCCTACTTCGATGGACGATCTATATTGAACAGTTGACTTGCTATTTGTGACTACATACGTTTCCACCTCACATTGTTGCTTCTCAGTCTCTCTCACGCACAACGGGATCCTGCACACATTCGGCTACTAATAACAACACAGGAGTAACTAAGCTCACAACCGTGAACATAATACAGCTCTCATTACTAGTGTTCAAAATCTATTGAACTTAATAAAGCTCTGTCCGTCATTCGCAAAAAAAGTCAATGAATCAACTAGTGGTATCCATTCATCGATTTATATCCTAAATAAAATTCCGGCGCGGGAGTAACTACCATTGCAATATTTTAATTCCAATTTACAAATATATAAGATGTGTTAGCTCGATTCTGAAAATTTTGATAGATGTCGGATGAAATCGTCAATAACTCTCCTTTTTCCACATGGTGACCTGAACGTGAAACGAACTCGCATACCTCAGCAGTTACGCCAACTTCGAATAGAATACGCTACTTCGAGGGATGAACCACATTCAACAGTTGACTTGCTATGTGTGAGTGCGTTATTGTCCTTCTCACGCTGTTGTTACTCCGTCTCAATCATACACAACGGGATCTTGCTCACCATCGACTGCTAATAGCAACACAGGAGCAACCACGCACGCAACCGCGAACTTAGTACAGCTCTCACTGCTAACGCTCAAAACATGGTAATCTTAATACAGCTATCAGCACCAGCTCTCTAAGTTCGGTGATCTTAATACAGCCCTCCCGAACTCTCGCAAAAAGGCAATGAATCAACTAGTATTATCAGTTCATCAAATTCTATCACAGATAAAATTTTGAAGGGGGACTAGTGTAGCGTAATTACCACTACAATTATTAATTACCAATTCAATAGAATATATAACAAGCTAACTCGATACTACTCTGGGGTACATTATGATTACACCTTTCCCTGTAGCATGATTATACCTTTCGTACGAGTACACCTTTTGTCTATTACACCGTTCTTGCACTTTAACTTTAATTTCTCATCTTTCTTCCCAATTAAACACTGGAAAAAAAATATTGTCACAACTATTAGAATACGTTAACATTTATCGTGTGTCTGCATGGGAACACCAAAAATAATTCAGCTCGATAATTTATACCGAAGTGCTTTGGTAATGGTTTTGGTAAAATTAACAATTAAATATGGTTTTATAATATGGGATAAAATTTCATAAATGTGTTATAATTTGACAATTTTATCAAGATACATTGGAGATTGGCAGAAAAGCCATCTACATGATTAAAGTTACTTCTCAGTTTTGTATTTTTCACTAAATGTGTGGTAACAAGAAATACACTTTTTTATGCACAAAATCGTGTCTAAATTTATTGCTTATTCAAGAATAATCACTATGCTTTGGAATATTTTATTTATAAATTTTCTTACCATGCATTAAACTAATCGCGTTCATACGTAGTTAAGATAATTATTTTATAATAATAAATGCATTCATAATAATCACTATACAAGAGTTTAAAAAAAAATTCAGCACAGCATTAACTAAAATATGCAATTATGAAAAGAAAAAAAATCGCACAAAAACTTTTCTCCATTGAAAATACGAATATATTTATAGATAATTGTTCATCTGTATTGATATATTCAGGTTTTAAACAAAAAATATATTATAATCTATTATTAATCTTTTATTTACTGATTTACTGAGCAAAAATGGCTCACTTACGGGAATAAAATATTAATTCTAAACATAAAAAATTTAGATACGAGATTTATAAAAGCAGAAATTCCCTTTGGCTTGGGTCCAAAGCTTACTAAGAAAATTTATTAAGCTCTAAAAATCCTTCTGCATAGATTCTCAATTTGCGGTAGACATTTTCTCTACTTTATTTCTATCTTATAAGCTGTATGGAAATATGGTTTTCTTCATTTTTAATTCAATTTCAGTTTTGACCTAACTTTTTTAGCATTAAATATTATATGCTTAAACAGTTTTCTCGCATTACTTCACGAATATGAGATAAAAGTATTAACGCCGCAAAAACATAGGGTAATTCTAAGTTAATTTATGGAATTTTGTTTTCGGTGTCAATTTACATTTTAATATAAATTTTAAATATTACTGATTATTTTACAGAATCGTCGCAAAAGTAAGGCATTCTATTTTTATTTTTTTTTTAAACTTCCATTTGAACTTTTACAAAATCATTCTCATGCCAAAAATCACATTTTTTTTCTACAATAGGTAAACTTTTATCAAAGCACGTTAAGCACCATACTAATAAATAACCGGGGTAGCACCTGTAGCCAGAAGCATAATCTCAATTAAATTTAACTTAACATTAATTAAGATGTTAAATTAAAACATATTTCTGTTTATACTGACTGTACACAGTTAAAATTTCTCTTTCTTTTTACAAAATTCTCTGTATATTTGGTGGTTTAACACTATTTTGCTGAAAAAAAGCTTTTTTTCTACTTTTCATCTTACTCAAAAATGGATTAAAACCTTATTATCGAATTCTAGTTTTTACCATGCAGTTTTGTTTACCGCATGACATTTCTACTTTTTTTAAAACCACTTCACGGTAGTTTTCTACACTTGCTCTTATTTTAAGCTTTTGAAAGTCATAAAATTGGATACTTGCACTTTAAGAGGAAGAAGATCATAGATACACCCACATGTGACCTATGAAGTCAGTTTGACCAGCTGATCGTTTATAAGCAAAGTAGCGTGTTAAAGTTGAGCTAAGTTCCTCTACATAAGTTAGAATGTTAATTAACGTGAAGTTAATTTAATACAGCGCCGTATCGCATATCGAATTTAAGCTATAGTTCTTTCTCGCTTACATCTTTTACTTAATTTAGATTTATTATTTGCTTATGTATTTTATTGTAACTGTTTCATATTTTTGTTTTGTGTACTTGGCAACTTCAATGCATAATTGGTTTATTTATGTCCTATGGGTTTCACGCCAGTCTTTGTGTTAGATAAGAAATACACTCTATAACAAAAAAATCGACGCACCAAGAAGGAGTTGTCCGACTAAAACGAAAATTAGTGGATAGGAAGACAATGTACAGAATAGTAAATGATTAAAATTTCAGAACAATTGAATGATTTATTGCAGAGTTACAGTAACAAGTTCAAAAAGGTGTTGACCCGCCTCTAGCCTGGATACAAGCTGCCACACGGCGTGGCATAGACCGATAAAGCTCCCGGATGGTCTCTTGCGGTATTTCCTGCCAAATTCGATCCAATTGTCGAACGAGGTTATCAACATTCCGTGCTAGATGCAATCGCCTTCCCATTATATCCCAGACATGCTCGGTGGGAGAGAGATCTGGTGATCTTGCAGGCCAAGGAAGAGTTTGACAAGCTTGCAGACAGTTCAATGCAGCACGAGCCGTATGTGGTCTGGCATTGACCTGCTGAAAAACCAGCCCAGGGGGCTGCAAAAGGAACGGTAGCAAAACAGGTCTTAGGATGTCGTCGACGTACCGCTGTGCAGTAAGTGTACCTCTAATGACGACCAAAGAGGTCTGGCTGTCAAAGGAAATGGCACCCCAGACCATAATGCCTTGTTGAGGGCCGGTGTGGCGTGCAATAGTGAAGACAGGATCCCCCCTCTGCTCTGTGCCTCTCCAAACACGTCTTCGATGATCGTCAGGACGCAATTGGAAGCGGGATTTGTCGCTAAAGACTATTCGTCCCCAGTCGACATCATTCCAGCCTGATCTGTTCAAAACATTCATGCATACGAAATTTCAAAGCAATCGGATGATTGCTTCTTGGTGCGTCTATTTTTTTGTTATAGAGTGTATATAGTGAAGGAATTAAATTCCCTGTAAAAGATTCTAAAATGTGTCACTTAAGAAAACTGATACTTGATGGGCTTAACGTATTTGAAATAGAATGTAAAGAACAGTTGCTAACGTTAACAAATGCCACGTTTCAACAACCAATCAGGATTGAAATATACTACGTGACTTACGGGTATCCCATTAAAACTTCTATTTGATTTTACTGTCAAACTGGTACTCTACTAGGTTATTATATTTCTTTAATTATAATTTTTGGGAAGTTAAATTGCCTTAAAATTTCATAAGGGTTGGATACCATATTTTTGAAATTAAACCTCTCACATGTT